GTTCGTTTCTACGAACGCTATGCTCACAAAAAAGGGTTTGGTGTTTGAGTAGATTCGCAACATTTGAGAAAAAGGAAGAATTCTGAAGGAGAGGTGGTGGAAATTTATGCCTACCTTTATTATGTTTGTAATAAGCAAGGGTCAACGGAAGAAGTCAATGTTGAGAAACAGAAACATGGAGAGGATTCCGTTGTAGAGAGAAGCCGCCCTAAACGAAAGAGGTATCGAATCAGGGCTTCATGCCCCGCCCTTGTTCGTTTCCGACGGGATAAGAATAGGGATGGATATGTGGTGCACAATTTCATTGGAGCTCACAATCATGATTTGCACCCCACCAAGCATGCTCACCTATTAAAGTCAAACAAGTCCGTGAGCGTTCCTCAAGGACTTGTTGCTGAAGCAAATCGCAATGTCGGGATGAGTCTTAGGTCATCGTATCAGCTATTGGCTGAGTGTGCCGGAGGGTATGAGAACTTGACTTTTACCAAATGTGATCAGAAGAACCATTTGAACAAGAACAGACAAAAGACTATGTCTCGTGGCGAAGCGACTTTCTTGCTTGACTACTTTCAAGACCAAAAGGAGAAGTATCCCGGCTTCTTTTATGCTGTAGAGGTAGATTGTGAGGAGAAAGTTGCCAATATTTTTTGGGCAGACAGTAGGATGCGTGAAGATTATGCACTTTTCGGAGACTCTGTCTCCTTTGACACCACCTTCCGAACCAATAAACACTTTCGGCCATTGGGTATGTTGACCACTTATTTTCCTTAATTTTTTGGACACGCAAGCGATTATGCATTGTTTTTAATACCAAGTCTTTTGCAGGGATGTTTGTAGGTTTCAATCATCACGGACAAACTTGTGTGTTTGGCGCTTGTTTGTTATATGACGAGACAACTCCTTCTTTTGAATGGTTGTTTGAAGCATTTAGTCGGTGCATGAATAGGAAACTCCCAGTGACTATCTTCACAGATCAGGACGCCGGTATGGCAGCTGCCCTTAGAAAGGAGTGGCCAGATGTGTTTCATGCCCTCTGTACTTGGCACATCTTGATGAATGCAAAGAAGAATCTTCGTAAGAGCAAGAAATTTTGGCATAAGTTCCAAAATCATCTTGCTTATCTTTTCTACTACGTCGACAGCGAGGCCGAGTTTGATGAGGCATGGAGCAGCATGGTTTCTAATTGTTTTCCCGGTGGTGAAACTGTCGATGGCCACCAATGGATGCAATATTTGAAGAAATTTCATCATCAATGGTGTTCCTTATATCTGAGAGATCAATTCACAGCGGGAATTTTGACAACGCAAGATAGTGAGTCGTGCAATGCACAAGTGCGACTCTTCTTGAAACCGAAACATAATCTCGACGAGTTTTTCATCCACTTTACCTGGTACGTTATCCAAATACTAGATGGACATTTATTGATATTACCTAGCACCTTAAGGATATTTGTAGATTCTTTTCTGGTATTTGTATGTGATGGTGTGATACATTTTTGTGTTGTTTGGATATTTGCTCTGTTTGTCAATGGATATCAGTCTGGGCAATTTGGTTTTCTTCATACATGCAGTTTGTTGGCTGACAAAAGGCACAAAGAGACTGAGTCCGACTATGATGGGAAACAATCAGCCCCTTACATAGTGTTGGAGAAAAGTTCCATCCTCCAACACTGCTGCCAAGATCTTCACGAAAAACATCTTCAACCGGATTCAAGAGCAGTATCTGGAAATTGAAGACTATCTAATTGAGCTTGTTCCATATAATAGGGATGATGGCTTCATTAGCTACCGTACATATAAGATGGAGGATGATGAGCGTAGCGATGAACGTGTCATTCTTGTCGATACTTCTACGACCACATTGGTATGCGATTGTAGGATGTTTAGAACATTCGGGGTCTTATGTCGGCATATGCTTAAGGTGATGCGATTGCTTGGAGAGTTTGGGAACGATAGTATGAGAACTATTCCAGATCATTACATACTCAAGCGATGGACGTTGGAGGCGATAAGGAAAGAGGTTGGTGATGCTGATGCTTCAGGCGATACTTCACTTAGTCATGAGAACGAGACGGGAAAAGGAGATATAGCAATGAGGTACCGAGAAACCACTGCAATGTTTAATCAGCTCGCAACAAAATTGTCAATGGCGGATGAGAAAGTGTACAACAAGGGGATGGGAGCATTGCAGAAAGTGTGCAAGGAGGCAAACAAGGCATTGTCAAAGACTATAACTAGCGAGGACGGTAAGTGTATCGAATATTTTTTGTAAATTAGTATAAGTTAATATCATTGGAAAGATTACTTAAGCCACTAACATTGTAGGGAATTATGTACCAACAAGTGGCCTCTCTCTTAAGGAGAAGAGTAATCCAAGGAAGCACGGCAAAGAACGTTATAAGTCCACGAATGAGAAAGAGCGTCGTCGAAAGAAGATTGTCTACGGAAAGAGATTGAAAGCATTGGAAGTGCTCACGCAGGAAAACCATTTTCAACATGATGACCATCTCACTGACTTGGAAGACGACCTTGCTGAATTTGGGTGTGGATATTAGTTTGTCAAACTCGGATATTTGTTAAGGAGGCTACGATATTTCTCTACGTTGTAAGGATATTAGTATGCATTGTAGGGATATGTCTTTTGGTTCTACAAATATTATCTCTAAATATTCGAATATTTTTGTTATATTTTATGTATGTGGTTGTGTGGATTTTATGTATTTCCATCAAATATGCTCAGATTTTAGTTTGTGTGTTTTGGATATCACTTTGGGTCATATGATATACTTTTGTTGAAGGAAAGATATTCTTAATCCATCCTTGATAAAAAAATCAGGGATACACTTAGTGTTGTCTACTTTAAACTAATAAAGCGAGCAATTTAATCAACATAGTTAGTGTCTACTTTTGTCCAAAAGTTACCAAAATAACACAATCACCTTAAACTAATAAAGCGAGCAATCAGGATAGAGTTAGTGTCTCCTTTTCTCCAAAACTTCCCAAAATAACCCAATCACCTTAATACCTTAACATCAACATATGTCCCATGAAACATAAGGAGGTAAGTTTCAGCTTCTCTTCCCTTTCTCCTTATGTGTTGCCCACTCATTTGCCTCCTCAAGTATGACATTCCTTACTTTGTTGTATTTCCATTGAAGGAGACTGCCTGCAATAGATGCTCGCTGGTGCTCCACATGCTTTGCCAAGTGCCAAGTTTCCTTGTATTCCGATGGAATGTGACCCTCCCAGTGCTCCATGAACATGCATGCGAACACTCCACAGTCATCGTGCCCTTCTTGTTGAGGAACATCCGCAATTAAGAATTCTCATTCATGCAAGGGAGCATCGATGTTGTACTTTGCAAGGAAAGTAGCCTCATACTCTAATATCAATTTTCCCATGGGATTGTGATCCACCTTGGCCACTGCTGGCTTGGGTTTCATGCTGTCCAGAAGGAAAGTCTTCTAACTCATTAGATCAGCAGCGTAGACCCAGTAGTGTTTGTTTGTATGCACGGGGAAAAAAAATCTGAAACATAGAAAATAATCAGTTATTCTCTCAGATAAATATCCAATAAACCCAGACTAGTATCCAAAACTAACATTTCAGATATTCACAGGAAAATCTTGAAAACAAATCAGATATTCTCTCGGATAAATATCCAATAAACCCAGACTAGTATCTAAAACTAAAATTTCAGATATTCACAGGCAAATCTTCAAACAAATCAGTTTTTCACTCGGATAAATATCCAATAAACCCAGACTAGTATCCACAACCACGTAAATCAGTATCAAGATAGAATAAGGATTCACTTACATATTCTAATTTGTCCCATACAACATGTTTGAAGACTTGAACCCGTTGGGTCAGTTCAATGACCGCATTGAGTCTCTCCATGGACGGGGGCATATTCGTTTGAGAATTAAGTATGGCAAGTTGTTGTTTGCAAAGGAAAATAATAGGTAATTAGTTACTGGATATCTAAAAATTGTAAGGTGTGAGTGAAGAGCCTACTTACACCAAAAGTGAACGGAAAGATAACTTTGTTCTTGTCACCAGCAAGTGCTTTGTCGTTCAAGAAATGACCATAAGCCTCAACCACTTGTAGATTGACCCACTCTAATCGCTTCAATGTCAACATATGAAGACGGGCGAGTTTAACTGAAGGAGTGTGCACCACCAAGCCCTTACCCTCAGGGGTACTGAAGACGAACTCAACCATACGACGAGCAACTGGGTCGAGCTTTGTCGACATATCCTTCGACAAATAATATACTGATGAAGAAGCATATGGGTTCTTCTTTGACCTCTCGAACTCTGGGGTCTTTAGTGTTGCAAGCCATTCCTCAGGTGTGTAGTTGTACAGACGGTCTCTCTCCTCGCCAGTCATATTCCTCTCATGCGTGATAATCACATCTGGACTCCTCTCAGCGATCTTACAAGCCGCTTCTAGCAACTCCTCGTCTGTAGGCAACATTCCCATCTCTTCAAGTTGAAAGAACGACTCCACCACATCTGTAGGTGGGTCTTCTTCCTTGGCATTAGCAGCGCTAGTAGCCTCATGAGCTATCTGCAAAATGTCCTCAAAAGAGGTATCTGGGACTGTATAGTGTATCACCATAGGGACTGTCAGCTCAAACACCTCCTCGTCTGGTGTCTCTACAGTCTTCTCAGCTTCATTCTCCACCACCTCAAATCTATTCTTATCTTCAGGATCTTCTTCACATATCTCTCCAGTTGTCTCCACTTGTGGCTCGACCTGGTCCTTCTCGAGAGGCTGCTCATCTATTTCCATTTTAGCTTCAATTTTCCCATATGCCGGTCAATCCCAGCACCTAGTACCTTAAGCTGGAAGACAAACAAACATTTTGCGCAAATTAAAAACTATATCCAAACTGCTCGTACAGGTATCCCATGTACCCAGACTAGTATCAGAAGAGAGCGTACAAATATTCAAGTTGGCAGAATTGATATCCAAAAATAACAAACATTGATTTCACAGAAATATCCAAATGCATAAAATTAATATCCAAACCTCACAAACCAGTATTCATAACTGAAAAGAAACCACAAGCTGATATCCAAATGAAACCAACAAATATTCCAGAACAACAAACTAAAATCCGACTAATATCCAAAGCCATTCCAACATGGCATCAAATTCACGGAAAACAGTACAACCCCCCCCACCAAACAACGGAAAACAGTAGATCAATTCACTCCTGCTGTTCCAAATTCCGGACAATCGTTTGGACCTTGTCCCTTCGAGCCACCCACTTTTTAATCATGCTCTCGGTCATTTCCTTCAATCCCTTAAGCTACACATATGTTGTGAATATTTAGGTTACTATATCTTCCAAGTCTACCAATGCACGATCTTAGTTAGGGAGGAAGAAAACATTTTACCTGCCCTAGCGAAAGGCTAGTCAAATCTTCAGTCTCCCACCATTCCGCGGTGGGTAACGGTGCACGATCTGGAGGAGGAGCTGAACTGCTCGCAGCTGCTGCACTAGTACCCCCAATAGCCGCCGGCTGGAGCTGCCTGCGAGAGGCGATTTCTTCCCTACTCAGCAGAGCGGCAGCTAGGTCATATCTTCTCCGGACTAAGGGGATAGATGTGCTTGCCCTCTCGACACTTTGCTTCCACCAATACCAGCAGCTAGGTATGGTCTTTGTGTGCAACCCGCCTAGTTTTAGAGAGTCCAACAGATGGAGCTGTAAAAAAATTACAATTAATAAATGTTAAGCTCCATTTCTAGCAATTTAATCAACAAATATCCAGAGTCAACACAAACAGTATCTTATGTGACTAAACTGATATCCAGAAATCATTTCAACCTAATTTCTTACAAAACAAAGAGTATCCGAGTTCAGTTAGATGATACCAAAATACGAAATTCACTAGTTTTCATGCAATTGAACCAACAATTATAGAAAAGGTTAGGACTTACTATCAAGAAGTAGCAATCTCCGAGAACCCACACGCACGGCGAGCCCAGCGCCTTTGCACTATGTTCTTTTTTCTTGGCAACTGTCAACTCTATTTTCAGTTCATGGACAATAAATGTACACCAATCGTACACCCTCACGTCCTCAACACTCCCACCTAGGTATGGGGCAAAGTCCAGCTTGCACCTCCGAGAAAATGTTGGTACGAGCATCGAACCAGTAGCTAGCAACAAGAATTGCTTGACAGCAATTGCAACAGATGGTCTAGGACCGTTGGCTAGAATGGCCAACTCTCGCATCTTCTTGATAGGAACCATGCGAGCCCTGTTAGGAATCATGCCAACTTCCTCGCTGAAACTGTCGAGCATCCCCCCTCAACGTTCTTCAAATCAATCACAGCCCCACCGAGAGGAAGGTCGTATACACGTGCCACATCCTCAGCTGTGAAGTCGAAGACCTTCTTTGAGTCTCCTTCCCCAAAAACAAAAGTACTGGATGAGGAGTCATAAGCAGCCATCAAGTCGTCCATGAAGACATTGGGTATCTTCGGCATGTGAAGGTCCAATAGGCCCCCGAATCCTGCCTTCTCGACTTCTTTCTTGCATGCTGCATAGTATCCAGCATCTTGTTTCCAGTAGTTTATAATTTTGAAGAGGAAATAGGTGGAGCCACGAAATCTGAAATATGAGCCGTAGGGACCATCTCCCTCATCATCTTCTTCCTCATCTTCCTCCTCAACTTCTGGAATAGTAGGCAGCGGCTGCCTTGATCCTTCTCCTTGACGAGATCTCGATGCAACCATTTTCGTTCTCTTCATCCCGGGTTGTTCCTGAAACACAGTTATATATTAAGCAAAATATCCATAATCCTTGGACAAATAACTAAAACGCACACTTATATACAATTATTATCGTAGTAAAGCGAAATTGTATCTAAACGAAGATAACTGATATCCATGAAAAAAATATCCATAATACCCAGAAAAATAACTAAAACGAACAGTTAAGTATTCACACTAACAGAACTGATATCCACACATCACACACATTAGATTATTTTTTTAGCCAATACATACAATTATTATGGTAGTAAAGCAAAAGTGTATCCAAACGGAGATAACTGATATCCATAAAAAAAATATTCATACTACCCAGAAAAATAACTAAAACGAACAGTTAAGTATCCACCTTAACAGAACTGATATCCACACATCAGACACATCAGATTATTTTTTTTAGCCAATATAACTAATCGAGAAACGAAGTGAGAAATCAAACCTTTGGTGGTTATTCATCCGGCGGCTGCTGTGATGATCCAGCTACTTCACGAGATTTCGCTGCAGATTTTGGTGCAACAGTTTTGGATTTCTTCCTCACGGGTTGTTTCTGAAACATAGTTAGATATTAAGAAAACTATCCAGCCAAGGAAAATATTAAAATGCATCCGACTAGTAATTTTTAGCCAACATAACCAATCGAGAAACGGAGTAAGAAATGAAACCCGTGGTTGTTGTTCATCCGGTGGCTGCTTTGATGATCCTTCTCCCTCATTGTTGGGCTTTGAGTTCTTTTTCGGTCTCCCCATTCACTGAAACAATATAAAAAAATGACCAGAATAAGTATCAGAAGTGACAAAACTGATATCCATGTAACCTTTAATCAAGGAATCGACAAACGATACCTAGATTCAACAAAATCGTATCCAACAAACCCCCAAAATGGAATTCGAGAAACCATAATGAAACAATATATAAATAAGTATCGGAAGTGACAAAACTGATATCCATGTAACCTTTAATCAAGGAATCAACAAACAATACCTAGATTCCCCAAAATCGTATCCAACAAACCCCCAAAATGGAATTCGAGAAACCATAAATCTGGTAACTAGAAGAAAAAAAAACCAAAGCCCAAAAATTCGAATCCCACAGACCCAGAATATGGTAATCTACAAACAAAACCCTAAACACCCATATTCGAATCCATGAAACCCTAAATCTAGAAATCGAGAAACGAAACCCTAAACCCCCAAATTCGAATCCCACGGACACAAAATCTGGTAATCTAGAATCAAAACCCTAAACACCCTAAATCGAATCGCATGAACCATAAATTTTCAAATCCATAAACAAAACCCAGATTTCCACAAAAAAAATTCATGAAACCCTAACTTACTATCCACAAACAAAATGAACATTAAAGAGAGGAGAAGTCTTCTACCCAGTGCTGTCAAAGCCGAGCCGAGCCGGCCGGCCGAGCCGCCAAAACCGCCAACCGCCCATAAAACCGGCTCGACTCAGCTATTAAGCCGGAGTGGTTATTTGGGACGGTCGGCGAGCGGCCGAAGCGGTTAACCGCTCGAACCGCTCGAGCCGCTCGCCCGGTTTTTAGCATTTGGGCCGGCTGATGTAATTAAAAAAAAAAAAACAGAAACTAAAAATCAAAAATTAAAATTGAAAGGGGACGGGAGGCTGTCTGAACTCTGAACTCTCAAGGCCAAGGGAACCCTAATTTTATTTCGTTCCCTCTTCGGCCGCAGACGACGAAGGAGAAGCAGCTCCTCCGCAGCCTTCGTCCAGTGCCTTCGTCGCCCACCGGAAACGTAGCCTTCGTCCAGCGCTGTCGTCGTTTGTTCCCGTCGTCGTTCCATCGTCGTCGCCATCGCATCTCGACGCCAGCCAAAACGCATCTCGACGCCTTCCCCGTTCGTCCAAAACACAACTCGCCGCCGTTCCCCGCAGCCTTCGTCCAAGCCGCCATCGTCGTCGACTCCTACTGCCGGCGAGCGCAACGGATGCGAATCCGGTGAGGTCTCCCCTGCATCGACCCCTGCTGCCTCTCTCCTGCATCAACCCGCTGCCTTTGCTGCTGCCCTCCCTTCTCTAATTGGCAATTAACTTCTTCCCCAATTAGCCTAGGTAATCAATTCATTCTTTCATTTGTAAAGTCCATGTTTGTATCTTAATGCGTAGATGAATAGAAGTAGGCAAGAGGAAGAGTTGGCGTGAGGGTTCTTTCTTTCATTTGTAAAGTAATTCAATTGTTTTAAAGCCATGTCCCATTTAGCAATTTTTTTTGCTGATTCGATGTTTCTTTTGTAAGAGAGTAATTTACTTGTGGTTTACCATGATTAAGAAGTGTCTACTATTTATACAGATGACTGTTTATTAGGTACCGGTTCTCAAACGGTTTTTAAACGGTCTAATGCCGGCTGGACCACTAATGACCGAGCCGTTCACGTTACCGGGTCATACTCCGGCTCGGCTTTGACAGCATTGCTTCTACCTCAACGTCTTCTTCTACCTCCCACTATCGGCGGCGACGGCGGCGGCCTTCTTCGTCGGCGAAGTCGGCAGCGTCTTCTTCTTCGTCGGTCGGGATAACTTCAACGTCGTCGGCGGCGGGAGATCCAACAAGTCGTCGCCGTCGTCGCAGCCGTCGTCGCTGTTGGTGGTGGTTTTCGGGAGAAGAAGAAACAGAGAGGGAGAGGGTTCGAAAGTTGGAGAGAGAGGGGAGAATGGCTGACGCGGGTTGAACTCGGGTTTTGGGTTTGAAATTTTGGGGTTTTTTTTTATTTCTGGCCCCACTTCTCCCAAAAGTGGCTCAGCTTGCCCAAAAAAATCTTCCCCCCACATCATAGCGCCGGTGATCCCTCACCCTCCGATAATGGCTCGGCGACATGGAACATCATCCCACCCTGTTAGTAGTTGCTTACTTTAAAGGTTAGCATAATAACGCTATTGCAATAACTGAATGATGGCGAGACTTGAGAGTACACTACAATAACTGCTGTTTTTCTGCTCCAAGCATTATCCGAATCATCGTCGTCATCAACAAAAACCAGACCGGTTTCAAAACGGCCCATAAGTTTGTCTGGGCCAGGGCGGCCCAAATTACGCTAGGTGTATAAAAATAGCATCCTCTCATCTCTCCAAACTTGGCTTATTGCAGTTCACTGTTCACCAATGGCGACCCTTCTTCTCTTTTCCAGCTTTTGATCTCTGTCTTTGTTTGTTCTCATCATAGCCACCAGCAGCTACGGTCAGCGGTGGCTGAGCGAACCGGAGGACGACGAGAGACACTCAACTTTGCGAGGGTAGTGAAGGTACGAATCAAACACTCAGACTTTGTTGGCGCACGATAGGATTATGGACTTCATTTCTTCTTTGTCAAGCAACGATTGAACGATCACCTGACAAATAAGCAGTGGATCGAGATCAATACTAAAACATTTAATAACGAGTTTGTATGGTAAGGAAATAGTGGAGGTTTTGGATTGAACACTACCTCCTGGACTTTGTTTCCTGCTCGTGCTAGTAACTTATACTGATCCTCAAACGTGGATGCCATATAAACCTGCACACCACAAGAAAGATGGATTCAGTTCTTCCATTAATATTCAGGTATTTATATTTTCCAGTATCGAGGCCAGTAGTCACATACCTGAAACGTTGGAGCTAAACCTGGACTCAAGAAATAGCGTCCTTTTGTTACTGACTGGATACCTTCAATTTGTTCTAGTTCCTTGATCAGAGACTCTACTTCCTCCCACTGTTACAATTCCAAATCAAAGTGAGAAACAAAATGGGACACGGGGACTAAACATTTGCAATCAAGGGACAGGAAGAGACCTCGGTGTCTTCTTCAGCTGGTTGCAGACTTCCACTTAAGGGATCACGATCGCCAACAACAGACTCCCAGGCCTCGGTCAAGGGATCCGGCTGTCAGAGTGAGCAATGCAGTTGGCATTAGGGGTGGGCATTGGGTGGGTCGGGTGGATTTTGACCATAAAATGCACCCACCCGCGCTTAAACGGATTGATAATTTTTAACCCACCACCCACCCACATTTAGTCTCGGGTTGGGTCGGGCGGATGGTGGATGATTTGGGTGGGTTTGTGGGTTCACCCACATCACAATGTATATAATATAAAGGAGTCAACTTGACATGATAATAGGCGAAGAGAGTTATCTGGGGAAACAAGAAGATGAAATAGGGCGAAAAATGTCGAATTAGTTCTTAAAATGGATAGAAATTCTATTATGAAAGAGTTTTCTACAGATTGAGATGATTATCAGGTGCAAGGAACTAAGAAAAATAATTCCACAAAGGAAAGAGCAGTGATCTAGGCACAAGAATTAGAGGAAAAAATAAAGGGAAGAAGAGGGGATCGCTATTTGGAAGGTTGGCTTTGAGGTTCAAACTCCAGGAGCAGTCCTAGTTTATTTCTAACGTCTCCACTCTCCCCTCTCTAGCGCCGACGACTTTGATCTTTTTGCTGTTGGGTTGAGCGGGTCACCCGCGCACCCACCCACAACCCACCCACCACCCGGCGGATGACTCCCAGCGCAACCCGTCACCCACCCATAGACCCACCCACTTAACGAAATTCGGGTCAAATGCGGGTGGGTCGGCCCAAACCCGCGGATGATCCGCCCGCATGCCCAGCCCTAGTTGGCATATACATATGTAGTAGCAGCCGGGATAGAAAAGTGTGGGCAGTTAAATCTCAAACATGTTAAGCACAAAACTCACAGTAATTTCCTTCAGGGACAAGAAAATACGTTCAAGTGTGAAATCCAACTGATGTACTTTTGCTTCAACGATCTGGGATGAGAAATGATATATGGCAGAAATTAGGGTTGGTAGGTGTAAAAAAACTACATCATTCATACATATACAAGGAACTCAATTAGTGGTTCTGATGTAAAAAGAGAAGGCACTGGCACACTGGAAGTACCTGACCCAGTTTAAAATATGATGCAGGATCCAAAGTGGCATCCCATGATACTTCAGTCTGATGAATTAGTGCAGGAACACCTTCAACCTATACCCAAAAGTTCCGGTTAACTTTAGGCTGAAAGCATATTTGCCACAATTAACTGCTTATAGTTGGTCATCTTTACAAATTAAGCCACCTCCTAATTATTGGAGCCTATGACTTGAAAGCTCATGTTACATGACTACTTGCTGTGCAAAGCAGAGAAACCAACGAATTATACTTTACCTTAACAAAAACATCGAACTAGGTGATATCTACTTGCTTTGAAAAGCTGAGGAACCAAACATTTATACTTTACCTCAACAAAAACACCGAAATAGGTGATCTTTTTTATGCATCCCTTCACGATATCTCCAACTTGAAGTTTAGCCTACAACACAAGGTAACTGAAGGCGCTTAAAGACCACAAGATAATTGCAATGAACAACAAATGTTTTTCATGAGAACAATCTTCCAATGTCTACTAAGCAATTCAATGTATCATTTTAGGAGTACCATCACGAAACATAAAAACTGCATGCGCTATACAGGAATAATCGTTGAATATAAAACACAACTTGCTCCTCACCATCAAGGTTCTCTTCTTCTCGGCCAATTCTTCCTTCTCCTTGGGTCTCAAAGAAAATAGCAATTTTCCAGACTTTTTATTCGCCATTACCACATTTGCTTTTATTTTCTGTATATAAAGAACTTGTCAAGAACACAATAATAGAAGTTAGTCACGACTTCCGACTTATACATGAAGCGGAATTCTTCAAACCTGGCCAACAAATGAGGAAAGGAATTTGAGTTTCTCCTGGTCATAAATCCTTAAAAGATCTTCCAACTTCATATCTGGAGTAATTTCACTCTCAGTTGCTGGATTTAACTTTGGGTCAATAGAACGGTTCTGATCTAAGGCATCATAATTTTCTATGATTCCTAAATTCTGTTTGTAGGCGGACGGATCAAGGCCCTTCTGTCTCAACCAAGACTCAAAAGCTATGAATTTCCATCTTGCAGCAAGATTGCGGTATGGCAAAAATCCCACCAATGAGCCAAAAGAGACCTGCAAAATGGATGATGGAAATCACAACAGTCAAGATACTTCCAAACCAGAAAGTAACTCCTGTAATAGAGGAAAAAGATGCTCATTCATTCAATGTTCCCCTATATACTTACAATGAATCCTCGTGCACTAGAGCTTATCAACTCCACTTCAGCCCTATCCCCTGCCTTAAACAGCTCTTCAGCCCTGGTCCAATCAGCAGCCTATACATTGTTGAATTGCCAGGAATCAGGACCACTTCAACTTGTATAAAGAATCAGAAATTCTCAAGGAAACATGTAATCTGACCTCCACAGGAGAAGTAGCTGGGAGATCCCGGATCTCATTGCTACTGGTTCCAGGATCCAAAGAAACTGTCTGTTCCATGCTAGATGTTGATCTTTCTTTCACAGATTGGTCTAATCTATATGATAAAGTACCACACTTGATGAAACTAATCCACAACTAAAGGCAGGATCCAACCAATTTCGGAAAGCAAGGAACATATTAGTTCCCTGAATGACTCCACGTACCTATTTGGTTTTCCCTGCAGTGATGCTTCGATCAATAAGTTGGATTCCGAATCACTTTTACTTGCATCCAGTTGTTGATTAAGAGCATCATCATGTACCTCACTAGATTGAATAATGCTCTCTTGCTGAAACCCTTGAAAACACAACAACACTTTCATTTCTGCATCTAGTAGTAGAAGGGTCTTATATGATTATGAAGGTAAGTGCAAGGGCTCATCAATCCTATGTTTCAACATAGGAATGAAGAGAAAACAATATTAGTTGTTGATTAGAGTAGAGAACGGAAGGGAAGGAAGATAAACTGGCTTCCTATCCGGAGCAACGACCAGGTATCACCAAAAGATGAAAAGAATTCCAATTTCCATCTATATAAGTATCTTTATAAAGCAAACCAGTAAATTACCTAAATCAGGTCTCTCTTCCACCACATCTTCCTTTCCAAGTGATTCTGAAGATTCCTGAACCTCATTTCGCACACTCACACTCACAGGCTTCTGCATCAAAGTGAAACCGGTGTAGTCATCATCCTCATCCATTTCATTCCTCATCGCCAACCGATCACCTCCATTAACTTCACCATCCACATTGGCAGGATACTCTTGCTTCTTCTCAACACTCACTGCCTCAGGCTTTCTCAAAAGTGTCATATCACTAAACCCCTCTCTTTTCTGCTCATTCCTCATTTTCAACATCAAATTAGGTTGAATCATCCTCACTCCAGACTTCAAATCCCTATCTTCCCCACCATCCTCCACACCGAAAACACTTGGCTTCCTCAATATAACATCCGGAACACTAGGCTGTTTGACATTGCTACTAGCAGCAGCATCGTTCACAACCGGACGAATCGGTTTCTTCATCTGCGGCAACCTTGCAGGTTTACTAACCTCCTCTTGGAACCTCATTCCTTGTTTTAGCACAGGCCTGGCCAAACTCAAACCATCCGACGACGAAGAACTAGCCGATTTCTGCTTCCTTTCGCTAGAAATATCAAAAGGAAGCTCCTCTATCTCCACTAATTTCCCTTTGTTTCTATGAAACTCCTTCTCAACTTCCAGAAACGAAGCATCCGGATTCACCTTTCTAGCCATTATCTAGTTCAGTCAAACAGCCACAAATGAAATTCCGGAATCAGAAGAAGAAAAAAACTCGAGAGTTGATAGAGAGAGACCGAGGATAACAAAACAGGCCGACGCCGAACCTTAGCTATGGTGAGTTTCGGGTCTTCACCGAGATAGCGACCGAATTGGAGCTCCATTTGGTCCCACTCGTCCAGCTGCGGCTCATTTCCACCTTCTCTGGACGCCGAAACAACAAGCCTACTCTTCCTCGAGGAAACCAGCTCTCTTCTTCTCCCGGAAGGCCTTCTCACTCTGGCTCTCGAACAAGGTAAGGAGAACCGCACGCCCGAAAAGGACGAGCAAGCGGCGGAAGAAGATGTAGTCGTGGCTGCGGCGGCCGTTGTTACGGCGGAATTGGCGAGCGCTAGAGTATCCATTGAAAAGAATTGAGCAGCAGTAATCTCATCGGCCGGAGAGCGGCCGCATTCGAGAATTCGAGGAATGGATACAGAGGGTTTAAGAAAAGGGAAGAAGAAGAAGAAGATAACGGAGGCAGGGGAATCCTTTATTTGTCCGGTACAGCATACGTGGCACTCCTAACCTCGAGTCATTTGTTCAGCCAATAGGAAGCTAGCCACGTGGACAGTGGAATCGCCATTAAAGCTCTCAAATCTTCAAAATTAACAAGCTCTTATATGTATTATCGGGTTAAAGACACATTTGGTCACTGAGATTACAAAATCGGGACATGTTTAGTCACTAGAAAAAGTTAATATCAAATTTGGTCACTATAAATACTAAAACTGGACACATTTAGTCACTCGCCGTTAGTCTCCGTCCAACTCCGTTAATGAAGTCCGTTAAGTGCTGATGTGGCAAACAGAATTGCCTAATCAGCCGGATATAACCCAACAAAAATAAAACCCGACCCGCCACGTCATTAAAGTCAACCCAACCCAACCCATGACCCAACCCCACCCAACCATTCTTCCTCTTTCCTCCCACCTCCTTCTTTCCCCAAAACCGCCGCCGCCGCTCTTCTCCTTCCTCCCACCTCCTCCCGCAAACCTGTTCGACCTAACCCAACAGAGCAATCCTTCACCATCCCTCACCAAATATGTTCGTCTCCTCTGATACATTTCTTCCCCCAAATCCCAACCCACCCAAAAAACCAAAAAAAACCCTTTCCCACTTCTTTCCTCTCAGCCTCATTTTCACTTTTACTCCTCACAACTACCATCACTGATCTCTCCAGGAGCAATGGTGTTTGAACATCAATCGTCGCCTCCGGCGAATCAAAACCCTAGCTTCAATTCCAAGAGGGTTTATCATGTAGGAGGAATCCCAGTGGAGTTCCCATACCAGCCGTACGGAACGCAGCTGGCGTTCATGGGTCGGGTCATTTCGACGCTGGAGCGAGCCTAAAGGGAGGGGCACTGTCATGCTTTGCTCGAGTCTCCGACGGGTACCGGGAAATCTCTGTCGCTCCTGTGTTCGACTCTGGCATGGCAGCAGACACAAAAACTGAAGAATCAGTACTCGAATCTTACCCACTCCAAACCCGATCCTGAGGCGATGAGCGATCCTTTGGGTCATGGCGGCGGGTTCGTCCCTGAAACGCAGCCTTCGAGTAAGCGAAGTGAACATTTGCAAGATTGTGGGTGAATTCCCAATAGTGGGATTTAGCACTTTCTTCTTCTAGGGTTTTGAAATCGGGTTGACGATGGATGTTGTTTTTAGGATAGAAGGGTTGGGTGGGGTTGGGTCATGGGTTGGGTGGGGTTGGTTTTAATGACGTGGCGGGTTATAATGACGTGGCGGGTCGGATTTTATTTTTGTTGGGTTATATCCGGCTGATTAGGCAATTCTGTTTGCCACATCAGCACTTAATGGACTTCATTAACGGAGTTGGACGGAGACTAACGGCGAGTGACTAAATGTGTCCGGTTTTAGTATTTGTAGTGACCAAATTTGATATTAACTTTTTTTTTTTTTTTTTTTTATGGTTAAATCAAATCGCATTAAGTACCGACACCAATAGCAAAACGCTATGGAGCCCTCAAAAACCAACAAGTCTGTACACAAAATCCTCTAATCAGTCACTACCAAACTAATAACAACTCAATTTCTAACTACTAACCCCAAGTCCCCTTGCCTCAAAACAATCTACTAAGCACTGGTTTAACAAACATCGACTCCAAATAATCCGATTTGCGTCAACAATCAGCTGGGAAGGATTTCTAGCCGCAACAGATCCATATAACCTCGCACATCTCTCCCGCCAAACAAGACTAATAAGCACACTCCAGCTCATCCTATTTAAAGAATGCGCTGGGGAATTACTCGGCCAATGAACAACACACCACTCTAGCACAGCATTCCATCCTCCAAGCACAGGAGGTGCTGCCTCCTTCAACACTGCACAACTCAGATACTGAAAGTAAGAACACTCCATGAACAAGTGGCCCCTGCTCTCCATACCTCCTGGACACAGCAAACAGTGACCTGAAATTTGTTTACCCCAAGCCACCAGCTTATCCAGCAACTTCAACCTGTCATTAATAACCAACCACAAAATAAAACCATGCCTGGGTACAACATGTTTATCCCAGACCATTTTATACCATCGAACCTTCACTTCCTTCTGCCTCAATGATTCCCATACTCTTGACACAGAGTAACGGTGCATAGGCAATCCTCCCCACTGCAACTCAGAGCCTACCACCGAAATGAAAGGTTTGACCAGGTCCCGACACTTAAGCAACCGCTTCCAGACCCAGGTACCTGCTGCTGTTTCTTTTAAATCCCAAACAGACCTCTGCTTCACCCTATAACGTGTAACCCAAGCAACCCATATAGATCCCTCTGCTGCTAGAATCGACCAAAGATGCCTGCATACACAGGCTTTGTTCCACACTGTGAAGTTCTTTATACCTAAGCCACCCTCCTTCTTCGGCCTAGCAATGAATTGCCAAGCAACTACTGCCCTCTTCCTCAATGATGTATCATTTATATCCCAAAGAAACTTGCTGCAGATAGACTCCACTTCTTTTATAATGTACTTGGGCAACAAGAAAATTCCCATCCAGTATTGCAGCACACTTGTAAGAACCGATGTGATCAACTGCAACCTGCCTGCAAAACTAAGGAGCTTTGCTCTCCAACTTTTTATCTTCCCTGTGATCTTCTCCACCAAAACCTTACATTCAGCCTTCGTGAGCTTTCCAGTTATTAATGGTACCCCCAGGTACCTGACTGGTAACTGACAATTTGGGAACTTTGAATAGGCAGAGATTCTCTGCCTCTCATCTTCTGATATACCCCCACAAAACAATTGACATTTATCGGGGTTACACCTCAAACCAGAGATAGTATAGAATGCATCCAATACTCGACAAACACCAGCAACCCCCCTGATTGAGCCATTTGTAAACACAAGCAAGTCGTCCGCAAAACAGAGGTGCGTGATGGTCAATGGCTTACACCTAGGGTGGTAAGGTATTTGATTCTGCACAGCAGCTTTTTTCAACAAAGCATCCAAAATTTCCATAGCAACCGTGAACAGGTAAGGGGATAACGGGTCCCCTTGCCTTAAACCCTTAGCCATATCAAAAGACCCACAAATCCCCCCATTCAAACTCACACTTATTCTTGGGGATTGAATACAAGCTCGTAACCAACTAACAAATTGAGCAGGCAGCCCCATAACCTCAAGCACAGTAAAAAGAAAAGCCCAATTTACTGAATCAAACGCTTTCATGATATCAATCTTGATCACACATCGAGGCGTAATATTTTTCCTATGATAGTCTTTAACTAATTCTGCAGCTAAGAGGATATTATCACTAATAGACCGCCCTTTCACAAAAGCAGATTGAGAAGGAGAGATAAGCAAAGGAAGTACAGCAGCTAACCTGTTTGCAATCACCTTGGAGATACCCTTATACAAGGTATTGCAGCAAGATATTGGGCGAAAATCCTTCATCTTCTCAGCATTTGCAACCTTAGCTACCAGAGTGAAAAGTGTAGTATTAACAGCCCGAGGCATAATTCCTGAACTGAAAAACTGAAGCGCAACATCCTCAACTAGAGAACCAACTAAGTCCCAGTGAAGCCTGAAAAATTCATAAGGGAATCCATCCGGACCAGGGGACTTGTTCCTCCCCAAACTGAACATGTCCCGATTTTGTAATCTCAGTGACCAAATGTGTCTTTAACCCCTGTATTATCTGATTAATTTGCGTCTGAGTCAGATTCAGGCACCAATTTTCGTATTAGCGAAGATCAAGATCAATATTGCATGATCATACAAAAGATCGAATCAACAACAAAAAAAAAAAGTTGTGTTAAAAAAAATTGAAAAGTAGAAAACGAACACCCAAGTTACAAATCAAGCAATTTGTCATCTCTGTAATCAATTTTCAATGTTAAATGCAGAGTCTACTGCTCCTGAGCAACAGGCTCCTCTTTGGCGTCTTCTTCTTCTTCCGCCGGTGGTGCCCTTGGCGTGGCCGACTTCTCATCGTCGTCGTCGTCCTGGTTGTGCTCTTCCTCGCCTTCAGATTTGAATCCCTCGACGGCTTGGGCGGCGCTCTTCTTGTTGATGTAGCTGTAAGAGCCCTTCTCCCTGAAGAGCTGGGCGAAATGGTGCTTGCAGTAGAGCACGCCGTTGAGGGCGGCGTAGGAAGAGTGAGTCAGCACGCAGCCGCCGTGGGCGCATCGGAAGCACGTCTTGTGGTAGAACTCTCCTTCCATTGATATCTGTCCCTCAAAATGAACGATTCACAGATGTTAAAGTAGAGTTTCGCGACCGTACATATAATCACCAAAATAGAGTCGTTGCTAAAAGTTTTTGATCAGGGGATTTTCGCTTTTTGGCGACATTTTTCATTCTCTAAACAAAGGTTTGAAGCTAACCTTCTCCAACGGATAGACAGTTTTGTGGCACGTGGCACATTTATCTTGGGTGCCACTGAACAAGGAAGCAACCTTGTTCGGAGTTGTTCCCTACAACATAACAAAAGTAACCAAACCATGATTCGAAGGACCAATCTGGTTTCAAGAGGACAAAACTCCATAATTAATGACCAAATCAACGAGTTTTGAACTTGTGGGTTACCTGGGCGTTCTTCTTTTCTCCAGCTGAATATGATGATGCATCAAGTTCATGAAGAAATTAAAACACCTATTAGCAAAAAGGGAGAACAGAAACAAGGAACAGGGAGGAAGTACTAATGGAGTACTTATTACATGTTTGGAAATTTTTGCTGAAACTTCCTGTTTCCTTGAACAATTGCTCAAAATGAGTCTTGCAGTACAAAACTCCGTCCATGGATGAGTAGTTTCCCATCTAATCACAAAAGAAAGAAAACCCCAACATTATTACGATTAATTTTGTTTAGCGCTTTCAAATAGATCTCTAACCATGAAACCGAACCATGCTTAGGGGCATGCTAGTCAATGCGTGTGTATACCTTCGATCACACAACTCATGATCTCTACCATTAGAAATACGTGTTCATCCGTATAATCCGATAATATTGAATAGTATTCAATCTATCATTGAGACGAGCCCTAAGAAAAGAAGAATTAGAGGTAACAAATTTCCATACCACAAGTTTGCCATTGCAATGGCTGCATCTGAAGCAGTTCTTGTGATAAAAGGCCCCATCGGCAGTTACCATGTCAATGAAGTGAACGGTCTTGTCGCATGCCTTGCATTTGTCGGTTGTCCCGCTGAAAACCATTTTGATGTTCTTGGGGGGAAAAATCCTTTTTTTTTTTGCCTAAAAGAAGAATGCAAACGGAATTTTCTTTAACAACAAATAGAGGGACTTCCGATTTCTATCTCAAGGAGATGAGATAGAAGAGAGAACTCCCAACAATATTTGTTGTCCTTTTGATTTTTCTTTATTTATTTCCTTTTCTTTTACACAAATTATTTGAGAAGGATACCAATATTTATTTTTAAAGGAGGGATGAAGGCAAAGGAGAAGTTTGTGGAGTATTTATGGGGACTTTGTGGAAAGAATTTTTGGTATATATTTTAGTTTCTGAAAATAGGGTTTTTCTTTTGGTTGCAATTGACCAATTCTTTGTTTCAGGGTGCATGATATGGAGGGGTACCTCTATTGTAATTTGCGGTTAATTTTTAGAATATGTTATTCCTATATTTAGATTGGTTTCAATTGTACATTTGTCATTGCTCCATGTTGCTGAGTTCAAATTTATAAGTTAATTTAGAGGTCCAAACTAATGCAACAAGTTAGTGGATACAACTTATTAATAGGCTACAAGGCTAGATGGGCATGATTGACATCTTGAAATGTTTTATACTAGACCTAAAATAAATTAATTAAAATGTACCCTAATTATGCAAAAAAAATGTAGTATTTATTTAAAAATTCTTCATATGGTCGACGTTAATTTGTGTGACTTTTGATTCTTGCAATCATGTGTACCTTTCTCATCGTTCTGTGTTTGTTATTTTCTGGATAAAATATTTCGAGTATCACGTAAGTTTAAAAATTGACAGAATTATAAAATAAGGTTTTGAATATCAATTGATGTGTTCATCCAAAACTCCATCAGTATAACAAAGAACAGGAAATTATTTTTTTGAAAAATAATTTCCATACCACAAGTTTGCCCTTGCCATATAAAGTGGGAATTGCTCAATCAATTAACTCACCAGTTTAGTACTCAATCATCACCCTCGTCTCTCTCAGCTAATACATGAACTAACAAATTTTTTGAAAAAATTATATTCAAATTAGGGTGTAAAATTAGGCGGACAAGTGAACACGCACAAATTAAGTTTATCCCTAAAATTGATTTTTTTGCTTATTAGAAAAATCTTTCAAATTTTCAAGACCTAATATTAGCCAATCATTAAAACTGCATTAACAATTATTAGTCAATTGGATAATAATTTGACAACACAATACTAAGTTTGAAGAGATACATGACACACAAATTTAATATCAAATTATTAATGAAATCTAACATTGACATACCGTTTGGTATAAATGAATTCCATAATTTTTTAGGAATTCATTTGGAAATGAAATATTTTTGTGTTTGGTATTTAAAATATTTCATTTTCAATTCTAAATTTTGAATTCTATAGAATTGGAACTAGTTATAGCAATTCCGAGGAATTGAGATGGAATTTCCAAATGAATTCCACAAGTATTTACTAATTATAATATAATGAAATAATTATCTTCTTTTATTAACTAAATTACTTATACATACGACATACCAAACACAAGAATTCATTTGATAATAAATTCTACACTACAATTCATTTTATTTCTAAAGATTTGAAATGACATACCAAACACAAGATATCATTTGACAATGAATTCTACACGGTATTTCATTTTACAATGAAATGAATTCTCGATTCATTTGGTACCAAACTGTTTGTGAGTGTCATTAACGGAATTATTGAGAGCAACAAAGAAATGACTAAAAAAAATTGCGTCACATACAGATTTAGCTAATCTTTTACAATTTGAAGGATTTTGCTAATATTTTTAAAACATTGGAACGTTTGTCTAATAAACTGAAAATATTTAAGCAGAAGAAAAAATATTAGTTAAGAACCTTTCTACGTCGAGAAAATATTATTTTCGACGATCAATTATTTCATTCGACTGTTATTATGTTCTCCTGCTTAAAACAGTTGCTACTACGGTACTGTCACAACAAAGACGAAAAAGTTAATATGATAACACGACTTTTTGTTAGCAAATACTAACACAGCCCGGATTGTGGCCACGTGGGCCCAGCTTTGATCTAAGGGTGAGGGGGTCAGCTCAGTCGTGGCTCACTTAAGTGAGCTATTTTTTGGGTTTTTTCGTACAAGCCGGCAGAGCTGAAGAAGGTGGTTCGGGTTCACTGTTGATTTGGGCGGGATTTGGGAGAGGAAGGGAAGGATGAAGGCGGATATTTCATTTGGTTACAACGGATATTTATTACTACATGGTTGGATATTAGTCTATGATATTTATCTATATTTATATGTGTTTCACTCGATATTAGTTTGTGTTGTGTAGATATTAGTTTGTATCAATTTTTAATGAAATAGCAGTATCCATTCTTCACAAAACCAATATCCATCCTTAACCAACCCAGTATATATCATTAAACTAATTGTTTGTACCATCTAGTTCCGGATACGAACAATAATGATTTGTTGGTATGGGCTTGACTAACTATCCGTTCTTCTGATCTCATCGGGAGATATAAAACATGTGAAAGGCTAGGGATGCCCCTCGGATTAAGCTCCGAGGATCAAGTCAGTTTACGTTTAAAGTGATAACCAAAGTGGAAAGTGAAGGTCCTCATGTCCCCTTTCTTAGAAGGCTTGAGAGCCCTTATATAGGCGTTGTGACACCAGTTGCCCGGCAGGTTGAGCAGAAAGTTGGACATCAACGGTAGCGCGGCAGGTTGCGTGGAGGTTGGGCGTCATTACGCTAGTGCGGCAAGATGCTGGTGCGCTACTACTTAGTCTCAGTTTGGCGTTACTAGTAATGTCCCTTCCTTGGAAGGCTTGGGAGCCATTATATAGACGTGGAGGCAGTGTGTCACCAGTTGCGCGGCAGGTTGGGCGTCACCGGTTGTGCGGTAGGTTGAGCGGATAGTTGGACGTCACCGGTAGCGCGGGAGGTTGGGCGTCACTACGCTAGTGCGGCAGGATGTTGGTGCGCTACTACTTAGTCTCAGTTTGGCGTTACTATTAATGTCTTTAGTTGGTGCGATAGTACTTAGTCTCAGTTTGGCTTAGTAACACCCCCAACACTAATGTTTACCAAACCCCAAAATAACTGAACTACCCGAAATTGATTACACAAATTTAGAGTTTAGGGTTGAGGGGTTTAGGGTTTGGAGAATTAGAGTTTAGGGCGTAGGGTTTCGGGTCTAGGTTTTACTTTTTAGGGTTTAGGTTTTTGGGATTATGGTTTGGGGTTTAGGGTTCAAGTTTGGTGTTTAGGGGTCGAAAAACGAGTGTCTATGTGGGCGTGTATGACAAGGGATATTTATCTACGTTTGTTTGTGTGGATATTTATGTGTTTCACTCGATATTAGTATGTGTTGTGTTGATATTAACGTTTATGGCTATGAACACAATGTAGGGTGATATGATATTTTTCTGAGGTGATATGATATTATTATGTATGGGAGGATATTAGTCTGTGATGTGTAGATATTTGTGTGTGTAGACAAATATTAGTCTACTACGATGTTATATGAGTCTGTGTTCGGTGGATATTAGTTTGTTATGGTGGGATATTACTTTTAGTATGAATGGTTGGATATTAGTCTGGATGGTTTGGATATTTGTTTTGTGTGGACCTTTACCTACTGAATTTGTATCATTGGAAACTTATTACACCAATTTAGGATTTAGGGTTCGAGTTTTGGTTTAGGATTTAGGGTTTAAGGTTTAGAAGACAATACTGTGGAAATTATTATGAACACAATGTAGAGTGGTTCGATATTTGTCTGTGATGATATAATATTAGTATTATGTATGGGAGAATATTAGTCTGTGATGTGTGGATATTTGTGTGTGTAGACAGATATTAGTCTGCTTCTATATGATATTAGTCTGTGTTCAGTGGATATTAGTCTTAGTGGTAGATATATTACTTTTGGTATGAGTGGATATTAGTTTCTTGTGTTAAGATATTTGTCTGAGCGGTGTGGGTGCTACTGTGCTAGTATGTGTGTGGTGGATATTAGGTTGTCTAGTGTGAATATTTGTTTTGGTATAAATGTATCTTAGTCTGCAAAGGTCGAATATTAGTATGGGTGGTTTGAATATTTGTTTTGTGTGGATGTTTATCTACTAAATTTGTATCATAGTTGAAATGAACTATTATTCCATCGTTCACCAACTCAATATCCATCATTTAACTAATGTTTACAAACCCCAAAATAAGTCATCCACCCAAAACTGATTACACCACACTAAATAATTACACCAATTTATGTCTAGTAATTATACACCAAACTAAATAATTACTCCAATTTGTGGGTTTTCTGCATGAAGAGGAAAAAATATCAATACATAAAATAACTAATATCCGGACAAGCAATTACCGACTAGAATCCACATCATCATAAAGTAGTATCCCAGGTCTCCAAACTACAATCCAGGCATGCAAAATAATATTTGACAGGGCATACGTAACTAATATATGTATTATTGACTTCCATTACCCCCAAATTCGCTTCCATGAAACCGTAAATTGAATTCCAGGGCAAAGAAATCGAATCTCAAAGGAGGCTGGGATGGTCCTTCTCCGGGTCGTGATCTCTTCGCGGATGTTTTAGTTCTTGCCATTGTGCAAAATCCCTGAAGCACATACAAATATCCAGTAAGCACAAACAAATATCCAATATACCACAGACAAATATCCATGAATAATATTATCAATATTTGGACAACATAGAATTAACATCAGAAAAGTAATATCCAGAAACAACAAAAAAATATCCAGACATAGTATAACAAATATCTCAAACGCATAGAACTAATATAAGTGAACTAACATCCCTATAGGGCAGACAAATATTCAGACAGAGCAAACAGATATCCATGCATAGCATAACTAATATCCGAACAATCAATTACAGAAAACTATCATATCATTAAAAAGTAGTATCCGAGGCCTACTAACTATTATCCACCATGAAACAAACTATTATTCCACGAATTAGACATAAAAAATATCAACATTAACATCAAGTAGTATTCCTAATCGAATCCAATATCCCCCAAATCCAATCCCAGAACCCCAAATCAAATCCTAGATCTCAGTCGCACAGAATCCCATATCTAATCTAAGATCCCAGTAGCATAGAATCCCAAATTCCAATCGCACAGAATTCCAAATCTCAGCCGCGCATAACTCCAGATCCCCCAAATCGAACCCAGGATTCCTCAAATCGAATCTCATATCCCCGAATCGAATCCATGAAACCACATAGTAGAATAAATGAATTAGGAGAAAGGAAGACGCCTACATGAACAACCTTCTTCTCCTCATAGCTGGCGTCGTGCACGTCTTCTTCCTTCTTGTTCGACCTACGTCTTTTTCCTTCAGGTACCGCTACCATGAGGAACTACCAAAGCTATTGTCATCGCCAAGCACCATCCTCGTCTTCTTCCTTGCGTCGTCGTCTTCTTCTTTGCATCCCTTGCGCCGGCGTCTTGCTCGCAATCCTCGACGAAGAGGTTTTTTTTAGAGAGAAAACAAAATTTTAATGGAGAGGGTAGAGAAAGGAAACAGATGAAATGATGAAGAGAGAAGAGGAGACCAAATAAAATGATTTTTTTGGATTTTTTGGCCCCACTTTTCCCTGCAGTTAGAGAGTGGCCTTGGGCCAGTCGCTCCTCCACTTACATTTCGGCGTCACTACTCCACCACCCTCCGATCGCGAATCGACGATGTGGCCATCAATATGGCCTTGTCAGTATCTCCTAACTCCTAAGTCCTAACAAAACACCATGTTAACCCCATAACTATATATCAACAAAGATGCTCTAAAGCCATGATCCTCCTTAACAGAAGAAACCTACAATTCCCCTGAAATCCATCATCTCTAAGACTCCAGCCCTCTTTTATTCCTTGCTACTCGCTTCAATTCTATCCAACCAAATCCGCTACAGAATTTTCCTCTTGATGTAGAAACCCAAGACCACCAAGTTCAAGAACTCGAACCCATTAGGGCATCCAAAACCACAACCTGGACCAGAAAATTTCACTACCTCTGTAACAAATGACGGAGAGTCGACGAAGCCCTTCGTTTCCTCGAAAACCTTCGTCTCCGAGGCTACCACCCGGATTCTATCAACCTCAGTAGCATAGTCCACGGGCTTTGTCTGGCCAATCGCTACATGGAAGCCCATCACTGGTCCGGTCTATTCTTGGACTCTGGCTGTAACCCTGATGAGTGAACTTGTAGTGTGATCATATCTAGGTTGCTCAATTCGAGATGCCCATCTGATAGTTTGAATATTTTGTGGCGTTTGGTTGGTGTTAAGCCTGAGTTTGCTCCTTTTTGGTTAATTACACCCGGTTAATTTACTGTTTTGCGAGGTTTCGTTGCCCGGAATTAGACATCGAGCTTTTCTCGATATGGTGAGTAGAGGGCATTGCCCAAATGTGGTTTCTTTCACGAATTTGATTGATGGATATTGTAAGATTGGAGAACTTGGTCTTGTGTATAGTGTGTTTGATGAAATGATTGAATATGATCGGGTGGTCCCGAATTCTCTCACTTATGGTATTGATTCGGGGAGGCTTGAGGAGAAGAGATATTGAAAAGGGGAGAGGATTGATATCTTTACTCTAGAGGAGGATGAAGGAGGAAGAGGATCAATCTCTGAATCCAGCTCCTTTTGCAAATTTGATTGATGCCTTGTACAGAGAAGGGTTTTACAATGAGGTTTTTCATATTTTTAAGGCATTCCTCAAGTAAGAGTCTTGATGATGTTTTTGCTTATGGTCACATGATTGATTCACTTTGTAGAGTAGAAGAAGCCATGGTGCTTCAAGGGTTGTTTATATATTGCAAAATCGAAGATTTGTTCCCAGCCAAGTGTCGTATGACTCTATTATCCACAGACTTTGCAAGGAGAGGAGTTACCCGAGGGCATTTCAGCTGTTGAAAGAAGGGATCGAGTTTGGGTGCATGCCATCTGAGTATACTTACAATGTAGTGTTGGGTGTTCTCTGCGAGGAAATGGACATATGCAAACCGAAAGCAGTTCTAGAGATCATGTTGAATAAGTCAGGGTTGGACAAACCCAGAATGTAGAATATATACTTAAGAGCACTTTGGCAGTTGAATAATCCCACTGAAATCTTGAATGTGGTAATGTTACCATGTTAGACTAATTGTCAACGTAATTTGGTGTTAGACCTAATGTTATGACATAAAACGTAGTTCTTCGTGGTCTATCCCGACTCAGGTTGTCAAATGATGCTATGGCTATGTTCGAGAAAATGATAATTGATCATGTGGACACAGACAGTACAACTTATAGTATAATGATTAGTGGGTTATCCGAGTCGGACCAAAGAGAGAGCGCCGGGAGTTTCCGTACTGATGTTGCGTGGTCTTCTAAGATTCATGATAATTTTGTTTATGCAGTCATTCTCAAGGGACTTCGTGGGTGTGCCAAATTGAATGAGGCATGTGATTTCCTATATGAATTGGTCGATTTCGGGGTCACTCTGAACACTATGCGCTACAATTTTGTGATTGATGTTGCATGCACGTTAGGGATGGTACGTAAGAGAAGCTTATCAAATGATGAGAGAGATGCAGAAGAATGGGCTGGAACCTGATGCCATAACTTGGAGGATTCTTCACAAACTGCATGTCAGTGTAGAGAATGATAGTGGTTTAGGATTATCAACTCTGCAATCCTAAGGTACATCAACAGATTCTGAAGTTATGTGGCTGTTTCAAATGGTCTTTGCTCAGTTCTTCCACCATTAAGGACGACTCGCCCATGCTTTAAGAAGTTGCTTACATGCTCATTCCAAATAGTAGCAAGTGATTTCTTCGCTTGACAAGTTGCTTACATACACAACTTGCATTGCGTATAAAAAGTGGTACATCTGCCAGTTCACAAGAACATTTTGCCAGGTTCAGCCATGAGAGCATATTAGTCTATTGGATTGTATGCCAACCTTCTCATCGACATGCTACAGCTGAAAGGTACGGAATTAGGGAAAGCAAATGAGTAGAGATTTTCCTGTAAAATGAAGATTTGGAATGCCTTCACATAGTTGTTGGTCTAAACAGCATGAATGTCTTGAATCCAGATTCAAATCTAGCTTTAGATAGCGAAAGGCAGTCTTTCACTAAAAGGAATTGAGAAGTAAGAATTATTTCCTACAAAAGAACCTTATTTGTTACATATCCGATACCAAGTTATAGAAAAAAACTTCAACTTCAGATCTTAGGAAATGATGGATTGTAAATAAAAAACATACCCTCACACACTCGACACAATAGTGTCATGAAACAAGTATGACAACTAGAAAAAATATTTAACACAAACCAAATCATAAATTAGGAAAGAAACAAATAATCTAAGAAGACTTTTGTTTTGTATGTTTGTTGATTCTTGATCAGTCTTTAGCATCCTATGCAACTGAAGAACTTCCTTGGTGTATACCCGGTGGCTCTGTATGTTTTTGCAGTTTCCTCAATCTTAACGTATTCTTCACCTTTAGTTGCTTCAATCACTGCCCTCTTCTCCTCTGCTTTCTTGTGGACTTCAGCTAACTTGTTCTGCATCTTCTCAACATACTCTGCCTTCTTCTTCTTCTTCTACAGTTGCTCCTGCATATTACAAATGGAACCCAATAAGCTCTAAAATGCATGAAACAAGTAATTCACTGTAAAAATAACTTATGTGAAACACTAAATCATTACTCATACTCCTGGAGCCGTGCTTCTACAACTGCTTTCTTGGTATTCTCCCATGATTCAATTGCAGCGAGCCTTTTGTAAATCCTGGGTTGTCAAAAAAATTTAGCTTAGCTGATGAAATGGAATGATGACATGATTTGGTAGTGGCAGAATAGGGAAATTGCATATGCTTACTTGTTGTCGATTTTGGCCTCCTCATTTTCTTGCCATGCACAGATCAAAGCATTTCTTTTCTCTATTTCAATCCTTGAAAGGGCAGTATCTGCAAGACCATCTGGAATCAAATGATCAGTTCATCAGAACACTTTCAGCTTTCAAAAACAAAGGTAAACTCCAAAATATCATCATGTACCTCTGTTGATTGGATTGAATGGAGTCTTTTCTAGTTGTGTTTTCTGAAATTGCTGCCTCATCTAGAGAATTTTTAGAAGGTGATGAACAGGATGAGTCCATTTTAGGGTAAAAGAAGGATCATTGCTGAAAAGTGAGAGTAAAGTGGGCTGGTGTTTATGGTGACAAATTGAATCTCCTCCATTAAGAAACATATAATCCCACATTAGTATTAGCTTTAATACCATTCAAATTTATTCTTGATACGTGACTAAAGTTAGAGATTTCTTTTTTTTATTGAAGTCAATTAATTTGTTTCTAAAACTCCCTTCCAGCTAATAAAAAAAATGCCTACAATCCAAGAAAACACGCACACACAAGTGCAAAGTTGATAGTTTTTGAAATTTTTGGATAGAAAGAAAGAGGTAGGGAGAAAATCATGGGGCTAGGATCGTACTTTCAGTTCCAGGTACCGGCTTGACACTCTTCTTACTGGCCTCTGCATCTTTCTCTATCGGTTTATCATTCTCAGAATCTGCTGCAATCTTCTGGGTGTCGGCTGAAGCAGCAGTGCCATTTTGATGATTATCATCATGCTAATGATGAACTTCTCTCTTTTCCTCAACATAGAAGTCACCTGATTCTCAACAGCAACAGCAGCAGAAACAGCGGGGGCAGGGACAATTTCCAATGATGTTGCTTCTTCTCCCATGATGTTTAATCCCAGGTTTAAGAATCTAAGAACATAAGTGGGCAAAAGATGAACTGGTGATGATATATAGGATGGAATTGGCAGGGGAGGAGAATACAGGAGTGGCAGGCAGGAGATAGCAAATCTCTCAACAGAACTAAACTATTGGGGATGCCGCAGGAAGGTGGGAGTTAGGTGGAAAAACTGTAGTGGAAGTTGAGATATGGACAAAAAACAGACAACCTTTGTTTCTGTAGACTTTTGTTCTCTGTTAAGTAACGTCTTTCGTGAAAGTAATTCAATATCTTTCTTCCTTTGTAAAAGTTCTTGTAGCCTATGTTTGGATCCGGTATATTGTCTAAAGCATTTCTTGACGAGGAAGTGCTCCTATTATAATTAATTAAACACCATTCGTCACCCCAAACAAATATGAGAAAAAACTTTTATTACTAAGCATCGTGCAATATCTGGAATCTTTTCCTTTCTAAATTTGTCAATCAATCACTCTTTCAACCAATATTTCTTTCCCCCCTCTTGAATAGTTTTAATAATATTGTTAGGGCTTATGTTGTAGACAACAGTAATTAATCTTTTGTTGCATATGATTACCCTAAGCAACAAATGATTAATCCTCTAAACAATATAAAGAGGTTCTCTTTGAGAACCACCCAATTGGTTTTTTCCTAGCTTCTCCGCACAACAAGGATTTTTTGGTCATTTGCTTAAAACCTCACTTAATTATAATAATAAAAAATCGGTACTCCAAGTCTCCAACTAAAAAGAAAGCTCATATTGTTATAAAACAATTACTCTGGAATAAACAATAAGGTAATAAGAAGAGTAACTTCTTTATTAATACCCACGTAGTACGAGCTACAAGTAATGATATGGTTACAAGGGAGAAGTGAAGAAGCTATATGGCTTTTTTGGTGTGTCCTTTTCTCTGCTATTAGATTGCCTTTTATAGGCAATGAGTGAGACCAAGCCATAATGATAATCATAATGGTGATCTATAGGGGGTTGACAGATAGTAGATGGAGGATGTGTATGATGGACATTCACTCAACACTATAATACTCCCCCTTGGATGTCAATTGTTGAGTAGTCTGAGTAGAGCTCATTGCTTCTAATACGCATGCATATTGCCTCGTTAAAAACCTTACCAGGAAAACCCAGTGGGAAAATACCATGGTTAAGAGAAAAAGTGTATAGCGTGCGTATATGATCCCCCTCATCTTGATATCACTGAAGATCCTTGAGTCGTCGAACTCCAATCTTGTATACTAACTTCTCGCAGTAGGAAGTGATTTTGTGAACAAATCCACCAAATTATCACATGACCGAATTTAAAGTACCTTTATTTCACCATTCTTTTGAAGATCATGGGTGAAGAAATTTTTTGGTGAAATATGTTTTGTTCTATTCCCTTTGATATACCCTTCCTTCAATTGTGTGATACATGCCGCATTATCCTCATACATGATAGTCGGAATCATCTCTTCGGGAGATAAACCGCAAATCTCATTGATATTTTTAATTATGGATCTCAACCAGACACATTCACGACTTGCCTCATGTATTGCTAAGATTTCCGCATGATTAGAGGATGTGGCTGTTATTGTTTCTTTTATAGATCTCCATGAAATGGCTGCATTTCCATATGTAAATAAATAGCCAGTTTGTGATCGACCATTATGTGGATTAGACAGATATCCATCATCTGCATATCCCACTAAGTTATCTTTGGGTAATTTTTAATAGAACAGACCCATGTCCATTGTTCCTCAAAGATACCTTAATAAGTGTTTTATGTCATTCCAGTGTCTTCGAGAAGGAGAAGAACTAAATCTTGCTAACAAGTTGACAGCAAATGATATGTCTGGTCTTGTATGATTAGCAAGATACATTAATGCCCGATCACACGAAGATATAGTACTTCTGGACCAAGTATCTCCTCATTAGTTTCTCGAGGCCTAAATTGATCCTTTTCTACATCCAGTAATCTCACAACCATAGGTGGGCTAAATGGATGTGATTTATCCATATAGAATTTTCTCAGTACCTTCTTTAGATACCCTTCTTGATTAGGGGTGGGCAAACGGTTCGGTAAACCCGAACCGAACCGAAATCGAATTAAAACGAACCGAAACCGAATTAATGCTATTCGGTTCGGAATTCGGAAGGAAAATATGGATAGTTCGGAAATCAGTGTTCTTTCAACCGAACCGAATTTCCGACCGAAAAACCGAAATCCTATAATTGCAAGCTCCAAATGGTGGATTTTTATGTTTGTAGTTGTTTTTAGACTTAAATATTTGAAATGTTTTATGACTTATGTGTTGAAAAGTTTGGTTTTATCATTGATGATGCATATAATTGATATTTATTGTTTATATTAGGGATGAAAAATAATTTAAAAGTGAGGAAATACAAGTAGCTTCACAAATTCGGTTTTGTGTGAAAATCGAACCAAACCGAATTATAGTTCGGTTTAAACCGACCGAACCGAATTATAATTCGTTTCGAATTCGGTTTGAGGTTTGGGAGAATTCGGGGACCCGATATTCATAATTTCGGTTCGGTAGAAACCGAACCGACCGAATGCCCACCCCTGTTCTTGATGAATGAAAATTCCATTGCTCAAGTGTTTGATTTGTAATCCAAGACAAAACTTAGTTTTTCCCAAATCCTTCATTTCGAACTCTTTCTTTAAGCAATCTACTGCTTTTGAAAGTTTTTCAAGAGTCTCAATAATATTTATGTCATCAACATAAACTGAAATGATTACAAATTATTTTCCAGATTTCCTTAGGAAAACACATGGGGAGATAAGGTTATTCTTATTGCCTTCTTTCAATAAGTATTCGCTGAGACGATTAAACCACATTCATCCGGATTGTTTTAACCCATATAATGACTTGTTCAGTTTTATCGAGTAATGTTCTCGTGGGTTTAATTTATTTGCTTCTGGCAAATTAAATCCTTCAGGTAGCTTCATATATATATATAGCTATCAAGTGAGCCATATAAATAAGTTGTGACGACATCCATCAGTCGCAAGTCTAATCCTTCTTGAGCCGCCAAACTGATTAAATATCAAAAAGTAGTTGCATCTATTACTGGGGAGTATGTCTCCTCATAGTCAATTCCAGGTCTCTGTGAGAACCCTTGTGCAACAAGTCGGGCCTTATATCTCACAATTTCCCCATGTTCGTTGCGTTTTCGCACAAATACCCACTTGTATCCTATTGGTTTAATATTGTGAGGGGTACAGACTACAGGTACAAACACTACTCGCTTTGTACGTGAATTCAGTTCTGCAGATATCGCGTCTTTCCATTTTAACCAATCATCTCTTCGTCTACATTCCTCAATAGGCTTTAGTTCATGATCTTCATTTTCATTCATGATATCAACTGCAATATTGTACACAAAACTTTCATCGACTTCAAACTCATTGCGTTCCATTGTTTTTCATCAAAAACATAATTAATCGAGATCTCTGTATTTTTATCTTTCTCAGGTACCTGATGTTCTTCTAGAACTGATGTAATTATGTTTGGAGATTTTTCTTGAGTAATGGAATCCTTACATGGACCAACTTGATTTTTCATCTCTTTTCCTTTACGAGGATTTTTATCTTTAGAACCTAAAGGTCTACCACACTTCATGCGTGCCTTTGATTCATTTGCCACATCAATTTGACCAATAGGGACATCGATCTTAACCGGAGCATTAGCAGTCGGAATATGAGACTTGGTCACTCTTTTCAAGTCAATAAATGCATCTGGCAATTGATTTGCTAAACTTTGCAAATGAATTATCCTTTGAACTTCAAGTTCACATTGTTGGGTTCGAGGATCGAAATGAGATAATGATAATTCATTCCAACTTATCTCATTTCCTGGCTGTTTATTCTCTCCCCCTAATTTTGGGAAGACTGTTTCATCAAAGTGACAGTCAGCAAATCTGGTTGTAAACAAATCTCCAGTCGTTGGTTCTAGATACTTAATGATTGAAAGGGACTCATATCTAACATAAATTCCCAACTTTCTCTGA